GGCTTACCCCAGGTGTATGTCCTGTCCCCTTCACTGTATATTTTGTATACAAATGACTGCAGGAGCACCTCTGACAACAGGCTTCTCCCAGCGTTTGCAGACGACACTGTTTTAATTAGTCTGCTCCAGGAGAGAGAGGTCAATCACGGGCCATTTGTAAAAGATTTTGTGGAGTGGTGGGACTTCTTGAAGCTCAACGTCAACAAAACTAAAGAGATGCCCATCCACTTACGGAAAACCTCCCATTCAACCTTTCCCAACTCTGATCAAAGGCACACCTGTGGAGAATGTTGACTTGTAGAAGTACCTGGGCACAGGGATTGAAAAGAACTTGAATCATGACCACAACACAAATGCAATCTGCAAAGAGGAACTGCGGAAACTCTACTTTCTGCATAGACTGAATACTTTGAATGTGGGCAAGACACTGATGGTTTTATTCTACCAATCTTTCATTGGTTCCATTTTTAACCTTTTGTTTTCATGTCATGGTAATAACCTTTCAGTGCACAACACAAACCGTCTGACCAGTATCATTAAAACAGCAAGTACAATAAACACCACTCAGAGGCTTTCCTTGTCAGATATCTGAAACAGACAAATTGTGAGGAGAGCAAAGTCGATCTTGGCCAGCTCTGACCGTCGTCCTCTCTTGGAGGACTTTGTTCTTCTCCCCTCTGGTCGGAGGTTCAGGCCGCCCAGGGGGAAGACCAACAGGAACAGTACTGTCTCCTGTTCTTCGTTAAACCTTAACTGCACTTTTCAAGCAGTGTAACAGAGTTAGAATTAACCTCTATGTTGAATTTCTGCTAAATTGATGTGGCTGTCACATTTATGTTAGTTTGTCGCCGCCTGGTGGTTTAATAGCGCAACTGTGGAAGGGCTCTTGGCTGGCCAGCCTTGCAGAGGAAATCTCTCCTGGGCTGAAGGTGGGTGCATGTGTGTCGTGCTACAACCAACATGTCTTTCTTTAATGCTTCAAATCCAGAAACTTTAAGTGACCATGCATTAATGGACTGTTTGAGCACACATTTACTGAAAAGTAGAGCAGGCAAAAGATTGAAAGGATGGACTGATCTCATCATTGGGGGGTTTGGAGACAGACTACAGAAACATATTGACCTCTGTGGCACTTTTAAAAAGCAGCTAAAGACCTATCTGTTCAGACTTGCCTTTGTTTGATCTGTCTGTATTTGATTTTATGTGACTGTTTGTACTCTGTTTTTGTTTTATTGTGAAGCACTTTGTGATGTCTGCTCTTGAAAGGTGCTATATAAATAAACTTTTACTTACTTACTGACTTATATACCGTATTTTCCGCACTATAAGGCGCACCGGATTATAAGGCGCACCGGATTATAAGGCGCACCTTCAATGAATGGCCTATTTTAGAACTGTTTTCATATATAGGGCGCACCGGATTATAAGGCGCATAGAATAGAACGTGTTTACAACTGAACAAGGCTGGGAGATATTGTGAATATATAAATATAAATACGTATAAAACGTAACGTATAAAACTACAAAAACAAAAGTACATAAGACGATTTCCCCAAATAATAAATTATTTCTTTGACTTTTCTCTTAACTCTCAAAACGTAGTTTTATACGTAGTGCATTCACAATAACTCAACGTTGTTCAAACGTTAATGTGCATATTCACAATATCTCCCAGCCTTGTTCAGTTGTAAACACGTAAAAGAAACACAGTCTGATACCGCTAATTCAAACGTTAGTGCAGGGGTGCCCAAACAGTCGATCGCGATCGACAGGTAGATCGCTGACTGATTCTCAGTCGATCGAGATGTTTAGTCAATATAAAATACAATTGTAAAATAGAAAAGTGTTTCCCACACACGATATCTGTGTGAGGAGCCCAAGTATACTTCCGACCTGTGTGTATTTAATTTTTCATTAATTCATGAAATTGCTGCGTGCATGAGAGAGCGAGAGAGCGAGCGGGGGAGCGAGAGAGAGAGAGCGCGCGCAAGAGAGAGTGCAGGCATGCGCAATGACGTGCAGGTAAAACCGGGGGGCTAAATGTTTTACCAAAAAGTCATATATAGAAACTATGCTACGAGTATTAAGCGCATTTGATGAAGCTGCAGCTACTTTTCTCTGCTCCTCTCTGCTGTCATGACTGTGAGCATCGCGGGGGACGAGACACACCAACAAACAGCGCACACGCACACGCACACGCACACGCACACGCACACGCACACACACACACACACACACACACACAAACACTTGCACTGGAGCGCCAGCCACCACGCGAACCTTTTTACTTTTAGTGCTACAGCACACAGTTGATCCGTGATCCGTACGGACCGAGGTGGGAACACACGTGACCCGGTCAAACAGTCGGTTGGACTTTACTCCGTTCACTCTCACCGTGTCTGCAGCTAATTTAACAAAAGCAAAATCATCTCACAGCAGCCTGCTGTAGTCTGTAGTCTGCATTATCTTTTACAGAACTCTCATTTATTATTTTCTGTTTGTTGTGTGAGTATTAAATGCGTTTGTAGGCTGTTGGTAAAGGCTATGGCTCACTATGTGGACTGGTAGATCTCGGCAGACTGGTAACTTTAAAAGTAGATCTTGGTTCAAAAAAGGTTGGGCACCCCTGCGTTAGTGCATAACTCAACATTGTTCAGTTACGTATAACACGTAAAGCTCACTTTTTCAGTTCATTCCCCGTCCACGAATCCCTCGAATTCTTCTTCTTCAGTGTCCGAATTGAACAGTTGGGCGAGTACAGCATCCAACATGCCCGGCTGCCTCTCGTCATTATCCGAGTCAGTGTCGCTGAGCGCCGTGTACAACCAGTATGGATCAACCAATTAACCAATTGATCCATATATAAGGCGCTCCGGATTATAAGGCGCACTGTCGTTTTTTGAGAAAATTAAAGGCTTTTAAGTGCGCCTTATAGTGTGGAAATTACGGTATTAGTTTTAGAGAAACATGGTGAAGTGTGATGTGTATAATATGAGAACTTCAAAGATAAGCTGAGTGATTTATGGAAAGTCTGGGGCCTCTTTACACCTCCTTCAAAGTGAAGTTGTGTATCAGAACCCAAATGTATAATCCCTCTCCTCGATTTCCTCCTTACATTCATATTTATTCTTTTATTTTTCAATCTGCATAAAATAGTCAAGTCAAGTCATATTTATTTAAAAAGCACATTTAAAAACAGCTACAGCTGACCAAAGTGCTGTACAATACATTAAAAAAGAAAAAACAACTTCAGATCACAATGTCCACAAGAGAGAAATATATATATGTATACATATATATAAATAAAAAGAAAGAATATATAAAGAAAGCAACAAAATAAAGAAAGCAACAAAGGAACCTGAAAGAGATGGTCTGTTCAGGACCAGGGGACTCAAATGCTAAAATATAAAAGTATGTCTTGAGACGGGACTTAAAAGAGTCAACAGAGGGTGCAGACCTGATTGAATGAGGGAGGCTGTTCCACAGTTTAGAGGCTTTTACTGAAAAGGCCCGATCTCTCTTTAGCTTGAGCCGTGAGCGGGGAACAGCCAGGAGGCCCATGTCTGATGATCTCAGGCGCTTAGAAGAGGTGTACGGCCTGAGGTGGTCGGTAATATAAAGGGGGGCCAGGCCATTCAGGGCTTTAAAAACAAACATCACAATCTTAAAATCGATTCTGAATCTTATTGGGAGCCAATGAAGGGATGCTAGGACAGGACTGATATGCTCCCTCTTCTTGGTTCCAGTCAGCAGCCTTGCTGCAGCATTTTCGACCAGCTGCAGATGGGACAGGGACGACTGGCTTATCCTGGTATATAAAAAATTGCAGTAGTCAAGCCGGGATGAAATGAGCGCATGGGTTACTGTCTGTAAGTCACTGAATGAGAGGATAGGTTTTAGCTTGGAAATTGAATTAAAGCTGAGTGTCATCTGCGTAGAAGAAGTGGTAATAGTGTAATGAATGTGCTATATGTGTTTGTACTGAAAATGTCGGCTCTTATAACCACGCTCTACAAATGAATGACACAGCGTGCTCTTACTGCACTATTGTTTAAATACTTGCTGCACTTTGTATATTTTATTTCTTGTATGGTATAGCGCCTACTTTTTCCTTTTCTTCATTCATGATGAGATATATGGGGGGGGGTGTAGGCTATATGTAACAGGTTGATATAGACAGCTTATGAATTTCACCAAAACACAAATTTTTCGTTTTATATGTTTTGCGTTTTTCTTTATCGACCGGAGTTTGTGTGTGTGTGTGTGTGTGTGTGTGTGCATGTGTATGTGTGTGTGTGTTTGCGTGCTCCCGCCACAGCAGTCTTCAGCACGGTCAGAGGTAAGTTACTGATGAGTCACGCTCCGCTGATAAACTCGTATTAAAGTATTTTTTGTGTGATTTATATTAAACCAAACTCTGGTGTTACGTTCCTGGTAATATTCGACTTGTCCTGTGTCAGTTCTGCAGAGTTTTGAGTCCGATATTTAAAGTTATTTATTATTTTCATCTTGATTTATAACGTCAAGCGTTAGATATCATGTTGCATTGTGTACGATCGCTGTCCACTCTGCAACCCATAAGTATTTACTTCTCTGCTAGGATAATTTCAGCTCCCCTTTGCAAACAGTATGACATGTGGTGCTTTTATTTTGAAGGTGGACAAACTGAAGTGTGGTGAGCTCTTCTCAGAGGCTTGTCAATAATCAAGTTTTTTCTCCGGTGTTAAAACAAGTCACAGCTCAACATTTCTATCACGTATGTGTATATTGTTAATGCAGGACTTTCCCCACTTTGTGAAACAAGCTAACGAGTATCAGCGCCTCGTAGAGCCTCCTCCTTCCTCGACCCTGCTAGAGAGCGACAGAGGAAAATAGAAACGGGATGTCAGGGTTAAAACGGCGTTCTGCGTCGCTGTAGGCAGTTAGGACACTCCAATACAATGAAAAATAGAATCAAGCTGATTTAGTCGCTGTCACTCGCTCGCTATCGGCCGATACAGATGTTGAACCGATGTATCCCTCGTATCTGGTTAAAGCTTCTTAAATAGGAGGACTTGCAGCATTTTGTGTCGTCTTAAAGTATAAACGAATCCGTTGTTCATGAAATAGTGACCTCAGTGCGTCTGAAGGTGCGTGATCTTTAAAGGTGTTATCACGTCCTCCAGGTGAGCTGGTGCTGTGCAGAGCACCTGCTCAGACACTGCGGTGTGAAGACATTGATCCATCCTCTGGACGGGGCGCCACACAGGGGACGGTGAGTACGAGACGCTCTCCTCTCCCGTCCTAGTTCCTGACCTTATTACCATCCTCGCTCTTATCGTGTTCGCTCTCTGTGCGCTCCGTTACAGCCGGCTGCAGGTGAGACGGCCAAACCGACGACCGCGGTCATCAAAGTGGAGGACGACGATGAGACCTGGGGCTGCTCTGCTCAGGACAGTGAGTACAGTTTGAGTGATGGACACCGACAACCACATGTAGACATGATCTTTCATTTTCACGTCTAGATTTATAACTGCTTTTTCTATTATTATTGGTTTAAACTACAACTAGCCATCAGCAAAAAACTACAAGACCCAGGACCTAGTGCTGGGCGATATGGCCTAAATTTGATATCACGATTTTTTTTTTGCCTAATGTCGATATGACTCGATATTCATCGTATTAAAGTTTATAAATGTAGCCTATAAAACTGAATCTCCACTGTATAAAAATAAATATCACTGATCCAGGAACATTACTTTAGATTCTAAAAATAAAAGTCACCAATTTACTCTTGAACCAGTCTGATGCAAGATTTAATTACAACTTTTATTTAATTAATTGAGCTCTAATTATAAACATATTGTGTATTTTTCTTATATTTATGTGCTCATGTTTATTCACCATGCTGCTAACTGTAAGAGTCTACTTAATGTGATATTAATATGAGGCTGTGATAGATCTGGAATCTCTCCTTCTTTCTTCTCTGTGAGAAACTCTTCATCCTTACATCTTTACTTTAGGAGCTCTCTTAAGGACTAACATGTTTTGTGAATAACTTTTATCTTCAGCAGGATCTAGTCTTTAACTTTAACGTGTTCCAGCTCCTCCAGCTGTCTGTCACTGTGGATCAAACTTTTCTCTGTTTTCGTCCTGCTGTCACTCTCCACTCTTCAGGTGATTTGTTTCTCTTTAAATTCTGATTTAAACTCGGCTTTTGTCGGGATCTGATGGTTTTAAAACCGTTTTACCAAACGTGTGTTTTATCAGAGAAAACCTGCTCTCAGATCTGAGTGTGAACAACTCGAGTGTAGCGAGTGAAGTGACAGCAGTGAAGCCTCCAGCTGAACCTGCAATCAGCTGGACTGTCAATCCTTCATCCGGGTCAGTGGGACACTTGTGATGTTGAGCTCTGCGTCATGAACCATTTTTTTGTAAGTAATTGGGCCTCGCTCTCATCTTTCTCTTTCTCCTCCGTGTTGGTCGCTTATAAGAGCGAGGCTCCTCAGCAGCAGTAGTGAAGTCTCCTCCGCCCTTTCGTCTCCGAGCAACAAGCGTTGCCGCGGAAATCTCGCAGAGCAACGAAATATCGCGAGAAAACTTTGAAGTGGTTTAAAAAATAAAATGGATGTTCCCTTTTCCATATCAAGCATTAATTAAATATCGATGGAATCGGGCTTCATGATATATCGCCCAGCACTACCAGGGCCCTGTTGTTGAGCTCTGATTCTTCCTTCCTGACAGTCTCAGGGTCTCTCCCGACTCGAGGCTGCTCAGACCCGATTCTCTGTTCAGATTATCTCGTAGTGTGAGCGGTCCAAAGATCCAATCTTAACGTCCCCGATCTGCCCGGCGATCGTCGGGGACGCCCCGATTTATTTCAAACATGTTTGATATTTAGAATTTAAAATCTTGACGATCATGAAAGGGTCCGGCAGAAGTTATGTGTGACTACAATATAATCACGAGAGACAAGGGAGGACTGTAGTCATGGCGACCAGCGGCAGGACGCAACACGGCGTTTCTTTTATTTTTTTACTTTCCAGTACAGATCATCAGCGCAGCACTTTTCTGAAACTTGTCTCCATATATCTACGATTGTATCAACTTTCCTAAATCCTACAACAACTTCCACTTCCTTCTCTTTCACCGGCCGTCGTCCGTTGGGGTTTTCAAATGAAACTTTATTAACAACTGTCAACGCTCCGTCCTAATTTCACTCGTACAGTGTGAGCTCTCTGGACGTGTCCGACAATCAGGTCGTACAGTGTGAGCTGACGTGCCACCACGACTTTGATACGATCGGGGGAAAATCTCACAGTGTGAGCGAGGCTTTAAAGGACGTTTTTTTTTTATGATTCATGATGAGTCTCTGAGACTAATGTGACAAGAGGTACGCACTACACCTGCTCTTTATCTGAATACTGAAAATGTAAGAAAGGTAAGATATTTCTCTTTCTCTCTCTCCAGCAGATCTTATTCCTGTTGTTGACGAACAGACGACAGACGCAGAAGCTCCGCCCCTGCTGACTAAACAGGAAGTAACGGAGGAAGGTGGCGGTTCTACTCGAGCTTGGGCGAGCGAGGAAGTCAGCTCCACTTCAGTGTGCGTCCAGAATACGACAAACACCAGCCAGAGTTTAGAAACCGGCAGCTTCGACTGTCTGATGTTCGAGCCACAGCTTCAGCACGGCTCAATGAGTACCCAGAATCCTTTGCCAGAGGATCCCAGCTGCTCGTACGCGTCGAACACCAGAGGGAGAGTTTCAGCTGCGTCCGATTCGGGCAGCGTTTCTTTCACCGTCGGGGAGCTGAGCCCGCCGGTGGCAGAGTGCAGACAGCCTGCAGGCTTACAGAACAACCAGCAGATGGCGCTGCAGCTTCCTGCGAGAAAAGAGACGAGAGAGAGGCAAAGTGCTTTCCTCAGACGGGACCGGTGGAGACATCTGGACGCCGCGAGCAGGGTGTCCAGTAACAGCGGGGAGGACAGCGCGGGGAAAACGTTTGTGTGCAACTACTGCGGGAAAACTCTGGCCTGCCTGAAGAACCTGAAGACCCACATGAGGGTCCACACGGGCGAGAAGCCGTACGTCTGCATGCTCTGCGGAAAACGCTTCTCCGACCCCAGCAACCTGAAACGCCACCAGAGGGTCCACACGGGAGAGAAACGCTACAACTGCGTCCACTGCGGCAAACGCTTCGCCCAGTCGGGATCCCTGAAGGTCCACATGAGCGTGCACACGGACTGCAAGCAGTTCAGGTGCTCGCACTGCGGCAAGACCTTCATCTCCAGCAGCCACCTGCGCCGCCACGTCACCACGCACGCTGAAGAGAATAGATTAACGCTTTAGTGACAAAGGTGGGATTATGGGAAATGGTGTTAAATCCTACAGGAGCTACCCGTGTAGGAGATAATGAAATCAACATGAACAGGACTTCTTCTTTTACTCATAAGACGTAACTGATATGCGTTTTTTTTTTCTTGTTGGTTTCGATGACAGCAAATAAACTTTTTTCCAGCTAGAGTCTCTTTGATAAAATGAATCAGTCAGTACGTTTACATGATGTTTACAAAAGTGGATTTATTGTCTCAGTATGACTATAACTGGACTTTAAAATAGTCCAGTTGGTCATTTCCTCCAGATCCACTTTTTAAGATTTTGGTGTAAATTGTCTTTAGGTCCTGACTGACATTAATAACTCATGTTCTCTGAAAAAGGAACAAAGAAAATCCATCATCTGTATCAGTTTGTAAGTCTGTAAAAACTTCAACCAATGTCTGCCACGAGGTACCAATCTGATGAACCAATCAGACGCCTCCCCGTCTCCCTGCTCGCTCTCTACCTCTTGCGTGCTCTAGCTCACACTCCGATGACTTTAGGAGTTTAAACTGTGAGTTTACTGACCGCTGATGAGACATGAGACGATGTAGTTTCTACACAAAGCAAGAGATGAGCTGAGGTCCACTTCTGGAGAGACGGCGTTTGTAAGTGAGGGGGCGTGGCTTTAGAGGGAGCACAGAGGGGAGGGGGTGCAGACGGAGCACTTAGGGAATGTTACTTTCAAAATCATTCTAGTTTTAGAAACCCTGCGTAGTTCAGCTTCAACTTCTCTTTAAACAGTTTTTTATTTTTAATAATTTCCTAAAAAGGAATAAAGTTTCAATTGTTGAATTACAATCAATATTTTGAGTGTTCCCTCCAAGAATCATCAGCTTAAGGTGGTGGAGGGGTTTAAGTGTCGCTGTGAGCTGCTGTTCCTCCTCTAATAAATCTTCAAACGGTTAAAGTGTTCAATAACTGACATGTGATGTTCATCAGGTGGTTAACCTTCAATAATGAACCCGTGTTCTCCAGAGCTCGTTGGATCTCTGAATCAAACTCTTTCCCTTCAGGACATTTCTTTTCTCCTGTCCGACCTGATGGACGAGTCAGAGACGACACTGATCGACTTGATTTCACATGTCGCACGTTCAGACTGGAGTTAAAGTCTCTCTCGCCCTCTCTCTCTCTCTCTCTCTCTCTCTGTCTCTCTCTCTCTCTGTCTCTCTCTCTCGCTCTCTCCCTCTCTCTCTCTCTCTCTCTCTCTTTTGTGCGATAGTCATCAAACTTTCCTAACCCCTCTTAAAACAAGAACAACAATAAACCAAACAGACATCAAAGATAAGTATCACTGTAAGACCATTTGTCACAGAAAATTAATCACAATCTGGATCATTTTGTTTAAAAGTTCAAAGTTTGCCATTCTTACAAGTTCATGAACAAAATAATGCCGTACTTTTACATATTGGCTACTTGTAAACAGAAACTTTGCAGGGCTGGAATAGTGCAGAGTCAACTGTCCAGTCCACATGTTTATAAAATATTCAATGAATGCATTCATTATTGTGCATAAGACACAAAAAGGACAAAAAGACGAGATAAGAATCATAAAGTTCTGCAGAAACAAAACAAAAAATGGTGAATAAAAACTGACCAGAATGCAGGAAAAGAAATGAAAGCTGCTTAAAATGTTTACTTTTGAATGTCATGGATGCTCTGTTTGGATAACCACCTGTGGTTCGGGCTGCACGTGATCTACAGATCATTCACTTTACATACAGGAAGTGAATGTGTGCGTGAGTTTGTGTTGGTTGGGTGTTTAGCTTCTGTTGAATTTGAAGGTATCATTTGGCCATGAATCTTGCATGTCCCAAAATGCCTTGAATACGATATATTAACAGAAAGAATTCTGGACCACTATTTTCTAAACCTTGGTTACAGCCCTGACTACACCAACAAGAGTAAAGATGGAACTACGATTTAGTAAGAAGAGGAAAACGTGATGATCTGAAGTTATTATTCTACAACTGTAGAGTGATTTCAGATCAGATAATAATCATTACTGTTTTATTCTCTCCATGCAGGATAATAACTCATAATGCACACAAAGATACAGATGATGCCTTCAGGGACTCCTTAGAGTTCAAGTGACAAAGTCTGAAATCAAACGTTCACAGCAGGTGAAGCAACAGATGACAGTTAACCAGTTAACACGCTGAGCAGATTATCTTTAAATAGACTCCAACAAACCAACCAATCAGGATCAAGATTTTACCTGCTGTGGAAATACTCAAAGTTATAACGAATGATTTAATAAAACAACATCACCATCACCATGACAACGCAGTCACACAACCCTAAGAGAATCAGAGATGAAGATTCAGAACATCATCTTCATCATGTATTAGTGTTCCACAGTCACAGAGATCTTCTCTGGTAAAATCTTTAGTTTATCACCAGTGTTAATGTATGGAAACATCCTCTCAGTGAAAGTGTGTGTGTAGGTGTGTATGTGTGTGTTAGTATCAGGATCAGAGAACGACAGCTTTCCTCTGTTACAGTGCAGATTCACTCTGATCCTCTGAGGATTCTTCTTCACTGAGAGATCAGTGGATGGATGTGATGAGGAGCGTGCTTCATATTTACCATCTTTGAACCCTATTCTCCAAAATCCAGACTGTATGACTCCCTTCCTCTTTACAGACTCTGCTAACACACCCAGTGACCAGTATGTACTGTCTCCAACCTGGACGTCCCAGCGGTGAGTCCCTGAGTTAAAGCCCTCAGAGCCCAGGACAAACCTGTAATGATCAAACCTCTCTGGATTATCAGGAAGCTGCTGTCTCTCTCCTCGTCTCACACAGGTCAGATCTTCAGACAGGATGAGGTTTGGATGAGCAGTGTTTGGGTCCAGAATGACCGGACTGTAGGAGACCATGTCCTTCATCTTGTTCCAGATGTTGAAGGTCAGGTTGCCCAGGTGTTTGGCCTGGTCTATCAGAGCTCCTGAGGGCAGCTGTGGATCCTCCAGCAGGGGGCGCTGCTGGACTCTTTCCACTGCAGCCTTGTAGTTTTTCAGGAATGAGACGTCTTCAGCTCTCAGCTCGTCCTCTGTGTCTCTGACTGTGTGTGAAAGAGCTGCTATCTCTCTGCTCAGAGCCTCCATCTCCTCCTTCATCCTCTGACTCTTCTGCTCCTCTTCCTCCCTCAGTGCACACAGCCTGGCCTCCTCTTCCTCTTCTAGAAACTGGTGAAGCTTCTTAAACTGCTCCTTAATCTGCCTCTCTGTGTGTCGGGCCTGGACCTGAATGTGTTCTGCTGTTTGATCAAACTTCACTTTAACTCGTTTACAAACTTTTAACTTCTTCTTTACCGGCTCCAGAGTTTCCTGAAGTTTCTTCTTGTGTTGTCCAGCAGCTTCATCGATGGGTCTGAATCTGTGCTCAGAGTGTTTTTCTGAATCTCTGCAGATGTGACACACCGGCTCCTGATGGTCCAGACAGAAGAGTTTGAGTTTCTCAGAGTGCAGACTGCAGAGATCCTCTGAAGCTCTCTGATCTCTCTCCTGCACAAAACTCTCACACAGGTTCTTTAAAGCAAAGTTAGGAGGTAAGATATCCTTTGAATGTCTCCTCTTACAGAGTGGACACTCCTTATTCTCCTTCTCCTTCCAGCAGCTCTGCAGACAGTCTTTACAGAAGCTGTGGAAGCAGGACAGGGTGACTGGATCTTTAAAGATGTCGAGGCAGATCGGACAGCTCAGACCTTCCTCTAACTTGGACGCCATTTTATCTCAGAGTCAAGCAGAAAAAACAGGAAGCCACTCCCCGTCCCTCAGAGTTACTTTCACTTTGATTGTTTTTCTTTGAAACTCACGTTCAGTTTGTGGATTCAGCAGCAGGTTGAAGTGTTTGTATTCCCAGTATCCCAGTATAACAAGTACTCCCAGTATCCCCTCCTCCTCCTCCTGTCCTGTCTCAGTGGAAGTCGTGCTGGTTTGTGTTTGCAGGTCGGTCCGTCTGTCAGCGTGTGTGTCTCTTCAGAGTGAGGCAGAATAACAGCCTGTTTCCTGGTTTGTCTCAGGTGAGACAGGTGAGGGGGCGGAGCTTCTTCAGAGCAGGAACACAGAAAACAGTCTCGTTTCTCTTCCTGCAGCTTGAAGTGAAATCTCTAAGACAATCTTCTTGTTATTAGTTCCACTACATCGCTGTCCAAAACTCTTTAAACCACATTAGCAAAGATACAACACAACAATACGGGCAAATACATTTAAATGAGATATGGTGAAAGTCAAGCTGTAACTTTTATGTTGAGGTAGTGTATTATAAAATGTGTGAATGTGTGTGTGGCAGTGTGATGCATCGAAGAGAGGAGCTGAGTGGGAAGCAAAGAGAAAACAAACTAAAACTAAAAAAATAAGTCAATATACAGTTTATATAAATATTAATGGAAAGAAAATGTATACAAAATAATAATAAAATAAAAGGTATAGTGATGAGGCCTCGTGTCCACCTAGTGTTTTTCTCCAGGAAGAAAAAAGAGCTGGCTGTGCTCACGGGATCGCTCGCATGCTGCACATCCATTCTGTCTCCATGACAACAGTCTGTGAGCCGCTGTGTGGCCGACACTGCTCTTTTACTTTTTACTGCATGTTTTATATTTGAGATCGTTTATTACTCGATCAGACACGGAGCAAAGAGGATAGAGGGTACAAGACACGAGCCGTAGAAGACAAAACTACGGGGAGTATCGTACATTTGGAAAAGAGCGCCGGTGACATCAACAGCACCTTTCTGAAAAGTTGAAAAAAGAGAGAATGAAGAACATACATACATAAACACATAAAGATGATTCATACACGTAATATTTAAGAAGAACTGAGAAGAGGGGTCACAGGGACCTCGGAGAGTCAGGCAAGATAAGGTCCCACAGCAGCACCAGATGAGCCCCAGTACCTCTTGTACATAACGTTGTAATACAACATGCATGCTTTATGTTATTATGAAGCGTGCTCAGTTGACAAACAGACAGACGAGAGAGAGAGAGATAAAGAAAAAAAGGGAACACAGAGAACATGACAGCTACTTTGTGGCTCACACTGAGTAATTTTAGTCAGATACAGACATGACACTCTGGATTTCTCCATAATGAAGGCTGTCAGCGTTGTGTTTTTTAGGGTTGAAGCGTGCTTGGGCACGGTACAGATGATGAAACAGTGGATTGATCACGTGTGTTCTCACCAGCTGATCTCAGATGGGATGTCTTGATTCTGGCTCCGCCCCTCTCTCAGGGCGCCTCTCTGTGAGCAAGCACAGAAAAAATGCAGAAGTGCAGGTTGT